ATTTTATTATTTTTTTCTGAAAAAGAACTACAAATATGTTCTAAAATGCTTTATTTTCCAAAAAATTGCTTTTTTCCAAACAATGAACCAAATAGTTCATTTTTAGCTTCATCAGTAATCAATTCTTCATCTATTGGGGCCATAAAATTGACTAATTTAGAATGAACAGTGTATCTCACTTTTCTTCCTTTTGTAGCTCTTGTATCAACTTTTCTTTTCATTTTGCTTCTTAAATTTTGTAAATGAATCCATCGCTGTCCTAATTGTGTAGGATTATTTACATCTGCAGACTTATATTCAATCAACTCCCTTAACAAGTGATAATAAAAGTCATCGTCATCAAAAATGTTATTATTATATTCATCTGCAACTTGTGATTGATTACTTTCTTCTAAATTTGGAATTATATCTTTTTCCATAGGTTTAAAACCCAAAATTTCATATTTAGATTTCTTCAGCTGACTTCTCTTAATTAATTTCTCTCGATCCATCAAAATGTGTTGAATTTGGTCAACAACTGAATAAACTGGAACTATATGCTTTACAGAAGCTATTTTAGTTTTCTCATTCCACTTTTGTATAACGGCATTTCGATAGTTCCTATATAACTCATGTGTTTTACTGATTTCTTTTTCATAATCACCCAGTTTCATTTTTTTTCTAGGACTTTCTTCTTGTTCTTCATCACTGTTTTCAAAATGCTCATCTTCAGTATCACTAGGAATTTCTTCATCACCATCTTCAGTTTGTACAATTTGTTTTTTCTTCTTATCTAAATTATTAGTTTCAGGATACTGCTTTAATAAAACTTTTTGTAATTGTAATAGTTTATCTAATGTTTTAATTATTGTATTTTTTGTATCTGAAACTTTATTTGCAAAGTCAGATCCACTTTGCTGTTTGATTTCTTCAAAATGATCTTTCTGAGGCATCTTGTTTGATGCTATCAAACATTTTTGCATTTGAATTCTTAACTCCATTAAACTTTCCCAGATGTTTAATTGATTACAAACACTTGTTCCTTTTGAAACTTGAGTTTTCATATTAATATCATTAATATGCTTAAAGTTACTTTTACTTTCATCTTCAGATACTTCACTTTTGTTGTCTTCAGTTTCAGAATCTTGGTCTTCTTCTTCACTGTCTTCATCAATTGAAGTTTGTTCTTCAAAGCTTTCCTCACTTATTTCTTTATTGTCATCTAAAACAAAACAATACTGTTTACATTTATTATTCTTTTTTCAATAGGTACTTACCATTTAAATCCTCTGAACCACTAAAACTAGATTCATTTTCAATGTTCTTTCTACTACTTTTAGTTCCTGTGTAACGTTTATCAACATCTTCTAGAAAGTTGAAACTCTGTCTAATTTTGCCCAGTTTTTCACCGATATTTTCATTTTTATCTTCATCTTCAAAAACGTTTTCTACTACCTTTGCAACGGTTTCTTCGTTTACGTCATCTTCAGGATCAAAAATTGTGGGTACTGGAGTTAAAATTTCCGCAATTTTTTCTCCGAGACTTTCACGCTCTTTATTTTTTTCCTGCATCTTCCTTATTTCCACTAATTATGTAAATAATAAATGATTTATTCGATTTTATTATTAATCTCTTTGATGTATAACAAATATCCAACAAAAACATGTGTTGTGGTCATCATAGATTAATGAAATACATAGATAATAGATACACAAAGGGTATATACTGTTATAAATCCGTTTGTAGATCTATTATCTATGGCATAGATATTCACTTGGAATATTAGAGGTTATGTAGGGTTATGTAGGTTATATGTATAGCTGTCTACAAGATAGTGAAAAATTCATAAATACCTCTGAAATGGACAGTGTTTTACCAGGCTTCGAAAATTTGGATACGTTTAAAGTTTCCGAAGACCTACAAAATGATACGGTTAAAAAAAAATCTAAGAAAGGTGGAGGATTTCAAACAATGGGTTTAAGTTTTAACGTTTTAAAAGGAATAACAAAACGTGGTTATAAAGTACCAACACCAATTCAACGAAAAGTAATATGCACAATTATTAATGTTTCAAACAGTTCATATTAAATTTTACAGTCTATACCGCTCGTAATGGAAGGACGCGATGTTGTTGCTATGGCTCGAACTGGAAGTGGTAAAACAGCATGTTTCTTAATTCCTCTCTTTGAAAAACTTAAAATGCGAATTGCTAAAGCAGGTGCCAGAGCACTTATACTTTCACCTACAAGGGAGCTAGTTTTACAAGTAAGGGGGGTATACAAAATTATAAATTGTTAATATACATAAGTGTTTGTTGTAGACGTTTAAATTTATTAAAGAACTGGGAAAATTTACTGGATTAAAAGCAGCAGTTGTCCTAGGAGGAGATTCAATGGAAGAACAATTTTCGTCTATTCATGGTAATCCAGATGTTATAGTAGCTACTCCAGGCAGATTTTTACATGTCTGCATAGAGATGGATCTAAAATTAAAAAGTATTGAATATGTTGTATTTGATGAAGCAGACAGACTATTTGAAATGGGATTTGGAGAACAGCTTACTGAGATTGTTAACAGGTAAATTTTTATATGTATTTTTTCAAAGTAATTTAAATAATTTCATTTTATCAAAAATGATACGATTAGAGGTATCATTTGGTATTTATATATTTTTATTTTTTTTATAGTCTTACATTTGTTAAAATTTAAAAGTAGGTAATTCATTAAATTCAAAATATTCTACAATTCTCTCTTGGTTTCGTTGTAAATTAGATGTATTAATAAGAGTTCTGATAATTTGATAATAACAAATCTTTGAAATAATACTATGCATTAAAAGTACATGTATTATGTAGATTACCAGATTCGAGACAAACTGTTCTTTTTTCTGCTACACTTCCTAAAGTACTTGTGGATTTTGCAAAAGCTGGCTTGAGTGATCCTGTGTTAATAAGGTATTTTACTTTTTTTTTTCTTTTCTTTATTTTAATTTTTTTGTAACATTAATTTAAATCTGAATGTATTGATTTCAGATTGGATGTTGAATCAAAACTACCCACTGAGTTGAAGTTACTATTTTTAATTGTACGTCCTGAGGAAAAAGTTGCAGCTCTACTTATGTTACTGAAAAGTCATATTGATAGTAAACAACAAACAGTTGTTTTTGTTGCAACAAAACACCATGTTGAATATTTACATTCGGTACTATTTTTTTTATCCATTATTTAATACAAAATCACTTTTAATTTTAATTCACAATTTTTCATTATTTTATTCATAGATACTAGATTATTGTGGCATAAGTAACACGTATATCTATTCAAACTTGGATCCATCAGCTAGAAAAATTCACGCAGCAAAATTTACAACAGGAAAAGTTAAGGTTTTAGTTGTAACAGATGTTGCTGCTAGAGGAATTGATATACCCCAGCTAGATAATGTAATTAACTTTAACTTTCCTGCAAAATCAAAACTTTTTGTGCATCGAGTCGGTAAGAACGTTATTGTTGAAATATATATTTGGTCTATTTTTTTAAAAGCTCTCTTGTTTAAGGTCGTTGTGCACGAGCTGGCAGAACCGGAACTGCCTATTCATTAGTAACACCAGATGAGTATGCATATCTTTTAGATTTGCACCTCTTTTTGGGACGTCCGCTGATATTGGCGGGACCAAATAGTACCCTCAATGAAACTGTCGTTGGGAAAATGCCCCAGGGTATTATAGAAGAACAGTTTAGTCTGCTGGTTACTCTCCACGAAACTCACGTTGATTTGGTACTTAATCTTTATTTAACATTTCTGCTTGTTAACATTTCTTTGGCGTTTAAATTTTTGAAACTGTTTATTTTATGGTTGTCATTTCCATTAAAATATTTTTTCACGTTTCATTATCCTATTTTTGTCTTTTTAGGTGAGTATGAGTAATGTTTGTGAAAATGCTTATAAACAATACATAAGATCAAGACCTCTCTCATCTGCCGATAGTAATCGTAGAGTGAAGGAAATGCCTTTTGCATCTTGCGGCATTCATCCAGTATTCAAAAATGAAACTGGAGAATTGGAAGCTGACAGGGAATTATTACTGGGACAAATGAAAAACTACAGGCCACCCGGGGTAACGTATTTTTTATTCCTAAACATTTTCCTGTTAAATTAACTAGTTGAAAATTCTGTTTGTAGACAATTTTCGAAATTTGCGGTAAAAACAAATCGGTTGATTATATTACAATGAAAAACAAAAGAGCTGTACATAAGAGTGTAATTGAATCTTTTCATGAAAAAACTAAAGAAAAGGAAAAATTAAAACCGACTTTCGACGAAAGCAAAAAAGCAGATCTTACCGTTAGTGATAATCACGATATAGAAGAAACGTTTAAAACAGTTGTTTTACCAAAAAAACGAAAAATCGAAGAAATTTATAAAAAGAAAACGAAAAAGGTCAAGGATGAAGAACATTTTATTCCATACGTCCCTCCAGACAGACATACTGAGGAAGGGTAAGAATGGAATGAATTATTTAGTATAAAATTAATCGTTTTTGTATTTTTTTTAAGACTGGCCATAAATAATTTTCAAAAAGATGCAATAAAAGCACAGTTTGACTTAATAGGTGATTCTTCTGAAATGTTACAATCCTCTAAAAATCAAATAAGGTGGGACCGTAAAAAGAAGAAAATGGTAGCAGTAAATCCTGTAAGTGTTTTTTCAGGTTTTATATGTATTAGAAAAATTTCACCAATAGAATTACAGTTCTTTATTTTATTTAATTTTGATAAGTTAATTTATATGTCCATTGATTTAAAAGCATTTTTAACTATTTTTTTTGTTCATATGCATTTTTATTTACGAACTCATGCAGGGAAATCTTTGGTAAAAAGCGAAAAATTATTCGACCTAAAGGAAGACCAGAGTAATAGTAAACATTTTCTGTTTATATTTCACAGATAAACATTTTTAGTGGTCTTTTTTCTAGTTATTTTTACAATTGTATTTTTCAGAATCCGAAAGCTGGTAAAATAAAAACAGAATCAGGAGCTTGGATACCTTCGAGTTATAAAAGCGACCGATACGCTCAGTGGAAAGAAAAAACGAAAGCTGCAGAACAGGAGGAAGATAGTGAAGATGATGAACAGAAAAAGCAAATAAGTTAGATTAATGTTTGTTTAATTTTTATTACGTTAACTACTTTTTATTTTTTGTTGCAGATAAATTTAAAAATATTAAAACCCATTGGGCCAGGCACAATGAAAAAGTAATGACGAAACAAAGAAAATCGGAATTAAAAACGACAGAACAAATCCTTAAAGCGAGAAAGATTGCAGAAAAGAAAAAGATGCGCCAAAAGAAGAAATTTAAGAAATCAAAAACAAAGCATCGTTGAGTTGTAAGTTTTATACATATATTAATTAAACCAATAAAAGCTTTACAGCGATTTAGAGAACAAATCCGATATCGTTGCTCCTTCCACATTAATTTTACTTTTTGGCGCTGTAATATTTAGTTTCGGACCATTAGTATTTTCCCCTGTTAAAATCAAATTATCATTTTCTTTTAACAGGGTCATTTGAAGATTGTCATTCAACCGAATGTCTTGTCCAACAATTTTTAAAGATATAGTCTGTTGACAACTTTCAAATAGTTTAAGGTTCAGTTCTCCTTCTTCATCCACAATTATTTTAGAATCAGCCTCTATCCTGGAAAGCTGAATATTTGCTTTACCTTCTTTTAAAATTGCTTCTAATACTCCATCAAAACGAACTAAAATAAAAATTCAAGTTCTATTACAACTATAAAAAAGTTTTTTCAATAATTTAAACTGACGATAAGTTAGTTAATTGAGTGATTTACATACTTAAATTTAATTCTCCTTTTGATTTAATATGAACTTTACAGTTCTTATGGGCATTTAGTAAATGAAGTGGTCCTGTCTCTGAGGAAAAGAAACTGTCTTTAAAGTAGGTTGATTCTGTACGAATATGTCCATTTACAGTACTTGCAATTAAATTAATTCCTTGAAGCTTATTGGCTGTTATACTCTAAAAGTCATAATAAACATATAAATTCATTATGAACAAAAATGAGTATTATTAAAACTTCAAATTATCTAGTAAACTTCTTACACCAAAATTACCCGTCGTTAAGGATGTGTCAGAAGCTTGCAGCACTTTCTTGCAAATTATATTTCCTGCTTCACTGTGAAGTTCAATTTTTTGACAATAACAATTTTCAACTGAAATATCACCGCTTTTTGTACCTAAAAGTACATGATCTCCTTGAAAATTGGAAATATGAATGTTTCCAGTAGAAACAGTAGCTTGAACATCTGTAATGAGATGATACTATTATTCTTTTTAAGTTAGGATTAAGTTTTAACTTTCTTGTTCATACTTGCTTTAACTGGAGCTTCAATATTACAAATAAGTTCAGTACAGTCACTACAGTTATTACTTGTAATTGTAATTACATCATTATCTAATTTGCATTCAGGGATATCGATATTTTTGGGATCAGGACTTATAAAATTAACAAACACTTTATCAGCATTTATATATTTATGGACATCTAAAGGTATGATGTTTAGGTGAAAACCTCCTTGTATATTTAGGTGACAAAAGGGAATAACAGAAAATTCAGTATTGAATATCGTATGATAGTTCTGCGATGAATATTTTCTAATATTATGTAGAATATTTATATTTTTCACAGTGTTTCGGATTAAATGAAATGCAGACCTAAAAGTCAGTTATTAAAATATAAAGTTAAAAATGTAATACGGGACATTCAAGTGCGTACATAATTATTTGGATAATCAAGCCGTTTTGATGAATTGAACAATTCACAAATAAAGTTAAACTTTGTAAGGAATCATGGAATTTATTCTTTATTTTGATATTTTTGACGTAAAACATAACCTTTACATTTCTTTTTAAAAATAGATTGAAAAATATGGTTTGTTACCAATATGTACTTAAGTATAAATGGTTGCCTATCGTAAACAGCAAAAATTATGTATACAGGGTGTTTCGTAATTACAAAATTTAATTTCTTGAATAAAGAATTGATCCTTTGGTGAATTTAAAAATGTTATTAATATTTTAGTTACATTTTTAGCGTAATGATAAATTATTTTCAAATATTTACCAGAGTNGACAGTTAATTAATGAATTTTTGAGTATATGGATGCATAAATAATGAAATAACTGTGATGAATTTCACGGACCGGAAAAAGTTCAAGAGGGGCCACGAGTTAGACAAAATATCTTTATCTGAAACTTTTTTCTAAAACAGTTTTAAAATACACATATAGAATTAAAAGCAATTTCAAATGCGCTCTGAACTAGTGGCGAGTTGAGATTCGGACATAGGGATATTCTACTACTTGCAATCATCAAAAAGGGCGGCATTATCTTTTGAAAAGCATAACGTACAATTTTCTTACATTACAATCCTCTATTTTTGCCAATTGCAAAACTTTTTATAAGCACATTAATTTATATAAATCTATTAATTTCAGCGTCTTAGGAGAAGTTACAAGTGTAAGGCAATATCTTAGTAAACGATTGTGTGAATTTAATAGTATATAAAACTGTACTTTTGATATCAAATTATCAGAATGAGTGAGAAACAAATTAATTTACGATTAATTGCTAATCACGTAATAAGTGCCAATAATTGCCATATGTATGTGAAGATACAAACCATTAGTTAATTTTTCTTTTGGGAATATCATAGACACTAAAGAATCATTATCGTGGTTTCCTTTTTTTTTTTAATAATTGCTCCAAATCTGATACAATTTGAATAATTTTTATATTTTTACCTTTTTCTGTATTTCATATTAAATACTTCGGTCAGTACATCAAGTGCCATCTTCCGGAAAATTCCTCAACAAATGTTTTCTTAATGTTTAAAAATCATAAACGTTACAGTAACCCATAGCATAAAATAGATTACATAACCTATGACAGATTATAAACAAACAAATTGTTTAGTTCGGTTAACCTAGTAGTAAATAATTAGTTGTGTTAAAATAGTTATTTCTCTGTTTTGTAAAACTGGATAAAAATTTATTAATACATTATTCGAAAGCCGAAAAATAATGCTTTAATTTTTATCAGTTAAAAAGAGGTTCAGTAGCAGGGATTGCCACGTTACAAGTTTTTGAGGTTAACTCCATAAAGAATTGATGAAAAATGAACTTAACATAAGTGTATAATAGGTGTATCTGTACCAACAAAATAATGAGTATCGTCCTACATAATACAATATATTTCCTCCTAGTTGTTGCAAGAATTATTTCAACTTTTTTACCACAGACAGGTTACATTCACCCAGATGAATTCTTTCAAACATTTGAAGTTCTAGCCGGTTAGTATCCTTTTGTTATAAACTGAAATATAATCGGTTGTTAATTTTTCATTAATATTTTTAGGGAAATTCCTAAATGTTGATATAAATAAGCCATGGGAATTCAATACAACATTTCCCATTCGAAGTATGTTTACCCCTTACATTATGGTTGGGACAGGATTTAAGTTTTTACAGACAATTAATTACTTTTCAGAGGCATGGTTTGCTATTTCATTAATTACCCCTTACTTCACTTTAATTATTCCACGTCTAGTAATATGTCTCTTTTCTCTCATCAATGATTTTTGCCTTTTTAAAATATGTGTAACCAATAATGAGAAATATCAATCCCGGCTGATTATTCTTGCTAGTTCATATGTAATGACTGTATATGGAACCAGGACATTTACTAACACTATTGAACTAATCCTTTTCTCACTTTTATTATATTATGTATCTGAAAGCATGATTTTTTCTAATATAGTTGTGAAACAAACTGAATATTTGCATATGCGTCATCGAAAGGCAAAAACAGCAGCTGAAAAGGCAAAATTTCATAAATTAAAACTTCTACTGCCAAATTTCTCTTTTCGAAATTGTTTTATAGTTGCAACAATTACAGTTGTGGGCTTCTTTAATCGACCAACATTTATCGCCTTTGCAGCTGGTCCTGTATTCTTTTGGTTGTACAGAGGGATGGGATCAAAGCCTGTTATTTCCTTACATTTCAATATTAGGATTTTAATATTTGCCTTGTGCACCCTTCCGTCATTTATATTCCTGATAATATTTGATTCTTTTTATTATGGCTATATATCATGGGGCGAAATCGGAATGATGGACGTTTCAATAAATAGTTTCGTCGTTACCCCTTTAAATTTCATAAAGTACAATGCAGATAACAAAAATTTAGCACAACATGGACTACATCCACGCTATTTGCATATGCTATGTAACATTCCACTTCTTTTTAATGTATTAGGATTCCTGGCATTTTATGAGATTTTAGTAGCTCTCAAAAGGTAATTAAATGTTTTCGTACTTCTGAGTTAAATTTGCACTTGATTGTATGGTTATTTTAGTTAAAAGTTACCACCTGCTACGCTTAATTTTTTTAATGTATTTTGTGATTCATTTTTTTTAATACAATTAACTTTGTTTTACAGAATATATGAAGCTCGTCTAAATCATTTGCCGCAAATTAAAACGATAAAGGCACTTATGACTGCGAGTACCTTAATAGCATTGGCTATTTTTTCTGTTATTCCACACCAAGAAGCTCGGTTTTTGATTCCACTACTACTTCCATTAGTGTATTTACACGGTCCTAGTATACTAAAGGAGCCAGAACTTGCTATAATCGAAAAACATGAAAATAAAAAATTAAACAAAAGTTCACCCAAGAAGAAAAAATCGTCACATTCATTGCTAAAAATCTGGATTTTTACTAACTTAGTATGTTTTATATTCTTTGGTTTAATACATCAAGGAGGTGTCGTTCAAGTGCCTCTAAGTTTTAATGAAATGTTGAAAAAACCATTGACACAGTACCATTTGCTTACGTGTTACACTTATAATATTCCTTACTCGTTGTTTCTTCAGAAACCTCGTCGTTCATTCTCGTTTACGGATTTTAAAGAAATAAGTTATCGAAAAGTGTATTTGCACGAACTCGGTTCCGTAAGTTATTCCACTGTTGCAGAAGCTTTAGTACACGTTCACAATCACTGCCTTCGCAGTCAAGGAAAATATGTTCAGGACTGCAAATTTTTTGTTCTTTGGCCTACAGGTCTGGAAAGTTTTTTCTTACAAACGATCGAAAACGTTATCAACACTAAAATTAGAAAAGTACGCCTTTTTTATCCTCATTTCAGTGTTGAGGCATTGGAATATTTTGATATGTATTGCTTAGATTCGTTGCCACCTAAAGAGTGTGAAAAAGAAATGATTTTACCTACTTACAACTATCTCATCAAGTTTTCGCAATTTTTCAGTCTCTCTCTTTATGAAGTTACATTCGCGCAGGATATAGAGGCTGAATGAAATGCAATTTAAAAATTAGTTTTTTTGTTTTTAGTATTCAACGATTTAGTCTGTGATACTTTACATTGCCATGTTTTTTAATTTATTGTAAACACGTAAAAATGTATTTAATTAAAATGATGTTTATTCATTTTTAGCCAAACATAAATTCCTAATTGTTACATTAATTTTAACTCTTATCGTTAATAAAAATATTAACTTGTAGGATGTACCACGTTTTATTCAATATTTAAGTACCTTTTATGTATTTACCGTGAAAGGCTAAATGTTGACTAATTAGTAGAACTACGATAAATATTTGTGCAAAAAAGTATATTTTGAGTATAAAATAAAAAATAAACAAAGTTATCACCTTAGCGTACAATAAGTTTACAGATTTTTTACAAAACATCTAAAAATTGTAATCAACAGACTTAATTAAATCTTAAAACTATTACCTAACTCGATATTTTGTACTGTTTCAATGTTGGTGCTAAAATCATGCAAACTATGGCAGTGAAAGTCCGCTGGCTTGTACTTCTTGCATCTTCTTCTTCATATACATATCTAAATGAGCATAGTCCAGAACAATGTTCCGTACAACCTCATGAAACACATCAGACCAATGCCGATCAAGTTGTCTTAATTTATAAACGGCACTACAAGTGTCTTGTAACATTTTTCCCATATGAGCTTTACTATTTTGTCTCAGTAAAAGATCTTCCTGAAAAATTCAAATTTTCTTTGATAGTATTCTTAAGAAAATTAATATACAATGGAAGTCTCTTAAATGCAGCTTACATGGGTTGGTGAATTCTTTTTCCATTGTAATGCCTCTTTACTAACGACGCTTTTCAATGCTGGATCAATTGATTGAAGCCACTTTTTTGCATTCTGTCCCTGTGTTCGACTCAGATCTAAATGCAACCTGTTTAAAAGTGGCTCCAATAGTATATCTGGTAAGGACCATAAGACAAGATCACTAAGACTTTGATATTCCTCATTGGCTTCCTTTATTTCTTCTTCAGAAACCTAAAAGAAACAACAACTTAACTTCTTTCTGTAATAAGAATATTTATTACATGAGTGCATCATACTTCACATTATGTACCTCTTTATCATTAATCTTTTTCAATCCCCAATGCACTAGCCTAAATACTGCGTAACTTCTCCAAAGTTTTTGTGTAATAGGATTCCCGTCACTGTGAATAAAAAGTGAGACAAATCCTTGTATTTCCGCTAACGCATTCAACTGCCCTAAACAGTGTATATTTGTTTCTTTGAAAACGAAATTTTCAATATTTGGAAACCGCTGTTTCAGTTTCCCAAAAATACCGACAATTGAATTAAAATTAGAATAATTAAAGTTAACTGTTGTTACATCCCTGGCTTTGGAAACGTTCCATTGCTTTTCTATAAATCTCAGAGCTCCTTGACCGAAAATATTAAGATGACGACCACAAATTTCTATAAGATAGTCTCCACCTAAAGCAAATAAGAAGGTTTATGATTGAAAGCAAATTTTACATATAAGCGGCTTTGTATTGATTATTTTTTTCCCTATNTAGAACAAGTTTTAGTTCGTCCCTGTATATTCGTTTATACTAAAACATAAAATATATAGAAAATAAGCTTGATAATTTTTTAAGATCGCAAGAAATGCTATTTTTACAGTGGCTATTAATAAAATCTATTACTCTGCAGTAAGCTAAATTAGTCCTAAAATCGATTTTATCAAAGCCAAAAAATAAGAAATATTTACAAAAAATCAATACTTACATCGCTGCGGCTTTTCAATGTCGATCTTTTTGGTCTCAAAAGCACATCTTTAAAATCTAATTTAATTTCATTTACAATGTTTGGCATTTTAGTATCACTCCTATATACAATTCACAAGCCTTTTGTAATTGACCACTTTAGTAGCTAAGTTAGGAAATAATTTACCTAAAAAAAAATAATGGTATTTCTACAACTACTAAATTACTTAATAGTAATTTATTCTTTAATCAAAACTCTACAGTTTGAACAATTGTTATGTGCTATGTAGTAAATAAAATGTTATATACCTGCTGCAGCTATTTTACGGACTGTTACGTATATACGTATACATCTCTAAAAGACCGCACATCTATCGCTCAATATCACATGATATACATATGTACATACATATATTATTTTATGATTTGACCTAAAATAAACGCACAAGTAACATGAATACCTTGCATGTACAATATTTTTACTTAATTTTATCTTTTTACGCTTTTTTAATTATTCGTTCTTTTATACAGACATTACATAATCGGTAATATGAACAATGCCATTCTTTTGTCTGTCTATTGAATATATTAAACAGTTTATTCTTTCAAGTAAAAAGATAATACTTGAAAAGAATATGTAATAAGAGCTATTGCAAAATTATTCTGAAAGCAAAATTTTATATTAAAAAACGTACAGATACATACAAAACTATTGCAATTTTTAAAAGTATGCAAAGAATTTTTTATTTTTTTGTAGGCAGGCTTATTATCTATTTATAATAGCTCAACAAATGAAATTTACAATTGTTAGTATTAAGATAGTATAATTCCAAAAGATGATGTAAGTATAATTAAAATAATAATTAATAGTTTTAAAAAAAATAAGCGCGCCTATTACGAATCATGGAGATGTCGGCTCGAAAACGACTGAAGTGGATACGCTATATTTATGTGGCCTTATAAAGTGCATTTAATTTTAAACAGTGATAGTATTAAAATAAGTCTATTATATGTTTTTCTGTACATTTCTTATAGTTTTACAGTTTTTCTACATTATTTTTTGAAAAACAAATTGACCTGCACAGCAGTGTAAATTATGTTACTGCAACCAACATAACACTGAACTAGGTTCTTGGCCTAATCAAGATCTAT